ATTCCAGCCAATGGGAGCTATGGGAAGCAGTGTGAACTGGGACACCACTTCCCACAGCTCCCATTGGCTAGGAACAGCAATTTGTGGCCAGTGGGAGCTGTGATTACACATACCTGCAGAGGTACAGGTAAACAAAGCGTCTTGTATCCAACTAGAGGCTTGCCCTTACAAGCTGCGACAGAGTTTGAAAACCCTGAAATATGCAACAAATCTTGCAGACCAGATGATCCTGGCAGTGCCTTGTAATCTTATGCTTCTATACAATACAGTAAGCATACTAATTTGAAGTATTTCTGTATATTAGTGATGAATAAATTTATTAAATGTGACAGTTATCAATTTTATTAGTTTATTTATGCAATAGTCCTTTTACATAAAATCATTTAAAGAATTATTGAAAATATTTTATACAAAAGTTCATGAGAGGTTGAGAAGCTAAAAAAATGTATTTTATATGCCACTCACATTCATAGAGGTTTGTAAATAAGTGGCAAAAATTGCAAAATTATATTTTAAGACTCACGACTAAAGAATCTGAAGTTTTAATTTGGAAGATTTCTGCCTATACAGTTAAGATTTCCAGTATTGATCACTTAACTCCAGAAAGACAAGTTAAAGGCATTGCATTTCCTTTTAAAATAAAGTTATTTAGATTTGCAGTAAAGTGTTTAGATAATCAATATATATTTTGCTTTGCCTCAATATGACTCTATGATTCTTACACAAATTTGAATAGTTGTATTTATGTAAACCAAAGAGTTTATTTTTATCCATTTGCTTAGGTAGCCGCATACCTATTCCAGTTAAGGCAGTGAGTTTGACTAGTAATCTGCTTTTCCCTCTTCCCCATGGTAGCAGGTATCTATTTGGCCGAGTTAATAGCAACACCATTCTATAATGGCCCATTTCTTATAGGTGCAGAACACCTTCAACTGCCATTGAAATTGATGAGAGTTGAGGACATTAAGCATCTTGCAGAGTGGAGAATTCAAAGAGAAACACTCTAGTAAGTATATCCAGCACTTAGTCATTCTCCAGCAACCAAGCATGACACCTTAACAATGCAACTTCTTTCTTCATCTGGAATCTGAGGAACCAGTTTGGATACCTGAAGCCCTCGCTCACAGGCCCTAAACTCACAGTCCAACAGCAAGCTAATTTGTGTCATATTATAGAGCTAGATGCTACTTCTGCTTTTTCCCTGGAATTTCTATTGTCATAAAATCCTCAGCTAAAGTTACTTCTTGACCATTTAACACTGATTCAGCTTGTCTCTTCAGTGCCATGACATCAATATCTCCTTCTCCAATTTGACCAGCTGGTTTATACCTCTGACTGAAGTGAGTCAGAACCAATTTCTTAACCTTACACAACTTTGCAAACTCAGCTGCCATTTTTGGAGTGCTATGACCATGCTCTTTGGCCTTGTCCATTTGGGTGTCATCCAGCGTGGCTTCATGAACTAACAGATCTGCTTTGTAACAAAGTTTCATTGCTTCATCTCCAACAACGCCTGAACAGTCACCTAAAATACAAATTTTTCTTCCAGGAATAGGCTCATCCAAGACATCTGAAGGAGAAATGATTACTCCATTTTCTAAGACAATCGTAACACCATTCTTCAGTTTCCCATATATAGGGCCTGGCTGAATTCCTAGAAGTTAAGTCAAAAGTTTTAGTATTTTGAAAATAAACACAGCTCATAGTTCAATATAGTATCTGCCAAATTTTACACTTAACCTATTCTTAAGGCATTGTTTTCTTACAAATTAAGTACTAAGATGTAGCAAATTGGAATTTTTTTCTGTACTATTTTTATGACTCCTACGTTCACCTCAGTTTCCCTCTATACACTGCATTGCTATCCAGTGAGGACAAAAGGGTTAAACACTGCTTGTACACAGGAGACATAGGCACATATCACCTTGCTGTCTGAGTGGAGTAAATAACCATTAAGGAATAAGTTGAAACTGATCCAGATCAACAGAGAGAGTTCAGAGACACAACTGGTAGTACCAAAGGTAGTATAATCACTTCCTCTCAGCAGGGAAGCTTGAGAAGAAACCCAAGCTCCGGCAAAAGGGCTCTGAACTCAGGGGCCCTGCCTTAAAAAAAAAAAAAAAAAAGATAGTCATGTCTATCAAGGAATAAAATAAGGACTTCTGGGTTGGAGGAAGCTAGCTCTCTACTAAGGAAATCAGAGAGAGTGCCTGAAAATGGAGTTCCCTATAACATGGCTGGTGAATTGTAGCTTCATTAGAATGGACTATTCTTTAACATTTATGTATGCTAACTTAAGGACTTCCAATATTGTGTTTCAGCTGACTCTGTTTTTGAAAGCACTGTTGGGGTAACACTGCAAATACCAATTGGGGTGCATTAGTCCCTGAAGGGTGTACAAGTCTCTAACCAGGAGTTGGATTCACTGAGTAGAACTCAGTGGTATGAAGCAAGAGTTCTAAAGCCCCAGAAGTTCATTAGAGAGAGTGCTTGGCCTATGCTGACAGAAAAGAGTGACTTCTTGGAGTCTGGCACAAGAGTCTGTTCAAAAACTGGTGGTATAACACCAATCCTGTGGATCTATGATTTACAAAAAACTAATGTTACACTTATTGCATACTCCAAGAGAACAAAAACTTTTAATTTGAGTTAAGTTCTAACAATAGATTTTAAGTTGTGTATTTTGAAGATGATACACTAGATCCAGTTTTATGTTCTTTTTCTCTGTAAGCCTTTAATGAATGTGCTGACAGGACGAGCTGGGTTTTTACTCTTCTAATGATCAAAACCGTATGCATTTGCAGGGGAGACAGTTCTAGGATATGAATACCTATCTCTTTTCTTGTGAAGAATAAAGTGGTCAATTTCAGAATGTATTACAGACAGAGATGCACACCATTCTGATTTAGTAAGCTTCTTTGAAGGGGTTTTTAGAAGACACTCCAGACATTAGTGAAGAATATAGTTCGGTCACAACTCGTAGCAGTATGAATCAGCTGCCAGCCTGAACACTTTGTATACTTGAATATCTATCATCTATTGATGAATCCATTTTCAACAATTATAGTATAACACATGTGCTTACAAATTATCAGAATAGGTGCCTTAGAAATTTTAATAAGGCATTTGGAAGTTAATGTAACCATATAAGAAATGTAGTTAATCATATATCTTATTATGACTTTAAAACTGCACTAACTGCACCATAAGCACATTCAAGAATAGATTTTAAGAAACAATATCCACAAGTTATAAGAATTAAAGGAAAAAATAAATGAAGGTACTCACCAAGGTCTTTTAGTTTCTGTGCATTGAGTTTACCAGTCCGCTGCTGCTCCTCCACTAAAAATCCAAAGGAAGGAATGCGATGAAATAATCGAAATGCTTTCATAACAAATTGCTGATTGTTGACCAGTGTGTAGGCGTTTTCTACAGGATCCAGATGAAGTGTTCTCCCTTGCACTTCTTTGGAAATCACTTCATCTCTGTCCATATAAGATAGTTCTTTAAATTCTTCTGTAGGGCACTGATCTGGTGTAGGTACAAGTTCATGAACTACATATGGAAAGAGAAGTTGTGTGTGGGAGAGTTCCAGAGTTCTCCAAATGAAGTTTCGTAGTCCTAATGGTCCGTAGATATCAACAGGTTGCTTGCTTGTCGTAGAACTACTCTGAAGATTAATTGTGCACAGCAGACCAGGAAGACCAAAAAAATGGTCCCCATGAAGATGAGTTATAAATATCTTAGTAATTCTGCCTATGAAGAAATAGCAGTACGTGACAATTACGCTCAGAGCAGCAAAATTACAGACTGTTAAAATGCATTTATTTTGTAGGAAATTTATAAAACAAAAATTGTGAATTAATTTATTTGAACAAAAAACAAATCAAGAAGTGAACTTTTTTTAAATTAAAATTTTTAACTTCTCATTTTTTGGATGAAAATTTGAATAATCTGAACCAAAATTAAACTTGTCACTGTTTTTGTTTCGCCAAAAGACATTTTTGCCAAAAGTTTGTGTGATTGAAAGTTTAGATCAAAATTAATTTTAAGAGCAAAGAAACTAGAAAAATTGACTAATATACCTTTGCTGTATTAAAATGCAAACAAGTTCTGGATGGAGACTGCACTTTATCAGACTACATGAAGACCATGGGCCAGTGAGAACCACCAAGTGAATTTCTACATTTGTTCTAGTTTCTAATTTCATTCCAAACATGCGAAGAGGCACTTCCACAAGCTACATATTGCAACTTACAACTAAGATTTCATGTACTCCATAGCAAAGCGACAGTACATTCTGGCATAGAATACTGGATTTTCTGCGGCACCTTAATTTCAATTTAAGAGGTTTAGCCAGTTGTTTCAAACTGCTTGCAGACTCAGAACATGGCAGGGCATAGCTTAAATGTAATTCATTTTTGGAACTTATAACCACAAAGGCTAAAAATTTGTATTAGATTAAAGCTTATGTTTTAGAGAACAATTTTGCAACAAAGAGTGATAAGGAAAGATTCCATAGGAACTTCAAAAGGTCCCTCCTAAAATACAGTACGTAGAGATGTTCATTAACATGTCAAGAAGTGATAAAATACACCTAAATAAAAAAGGTATTGCATATAAGGATGCTAAATATTGGTTAATTTACTAGTCAAGTAGTTGCTGGAATTTCCATCGACTATTCGACTAGTTGATAGGCACTTCCGCATTCCTCCTTTGAAATGTACAAAAGCACCAGCAGGGTATCTTGTGTATTTCAACATTGGAACTCCACATGCAGCCCGAGCCAGTGGGAAGTCCCACTGACTCCGGAGTCCACGCACTTTGAAATGTACAAGAGCCCAAGGGCTCTTGTGCATTTCAAAACGAACGTGCCCAAGTGGTGGAGCCCGGAGTCAGCAGGACTTCCTGCTTGTCCCGGGCTGCACGCAGCATGCCAGCTTTGAAATGTACAAGAGTCCCCAGCAGGGGCTCTTGTGCATTTCAAAGTGGAAGTGCCCGCATGGAGCCTGGCGTTAGCAGGGGACTTAAGCGTCCCCCACTGTCCCTGGGCTTCATGTGGCGCTGCCACTTTGAAATGCTGCGCGGACCCAGGGTCAGCTCGGGACTCCCCAGCTGATCCCAGGCTCTGTGTGGCAATTCCACAAAACCTGGGGTCAGCTGGGAACTCCCTCACAGAGCCCTGGATCAGCTGGAGACTCCCCAGCTGACTCCAGGCTCCACAGAGTGCTGCTGCTTTGAAACGCCGCAATGCCTCTGTCTGATAGAGGCAGCAAATGGGGGAGGGGAAGCGACTAGTTGACTCGACTATTCGATAAGCATTTAGTTATCGGATAGTCGACTAGTCCTTAATATCCTTAACTGCATTTGGACTGTATGAAGTAAGATTTCTGTCTTAGGATAACAACTTTCAATTGCACTGACCTGCTTTAAGATGACTTTTCATAAACTGTGTTTGAGTTCCCTCTCCACAATCAAATAGCCAGCATTCTCCTTCACTACGAATGACTAAAGCTGAAGCTCCTCTTGTTGGAGATGGATATGCTGAGCCCGTTCCCAGAAAAGTTATATCCATGGACATTTTGTCCACCTAAAGCAAATACATCATTGTAAGTCTATTGCATGGTTATTCTGCGGAGGAGGAAAAAACCACTAGTTGTGGCTTTACTTTAAATAAAAGGTATCAAACTCATTCTACTGAGAAGATCAAATCACATATTTAAATGTAATCCATGGATTTGGGTATACATTTAGAACTTCCCCTTCCAATTCACAACCTATCTCCCAGAGATGTCAATGAGAGGTTTACACAAAGATCAAGAATTGAATATGGCCTTTATTTAGGAGAGAACCTTATTGTCCACTTCAGTATCAACTGGAAGGATAGTCTCACCTTTAAAGTTTCTAATATTCTTGCCTTGTGTCTCCCTTCCCCATTTCTCTCTTCCATTTGCGTGTTTATATTAATTTTCTCCTTCAACAATACCTAGGTCCCAATGTCATGGACTTCTGCCCCCACCCCACTCTTCCCTTTCTAACTGTACATACTAAAATGATTAGTAATTAATGCTTACATTTAAAACTCATTGTTAACCTCAGTCAAGATGCTAACACAGCTAAAGGGAACAGGGAATTTCACACCTTAAAAGTCATTGTCAGAAAGACAACACAACATTGGTTTATGTTCACTTTGCATTTGGAATAGAAGTATCTCATAACAATAATGATGGCTAAATATTTATTTGGGCCTTGTCTACACTAGAAAGTTAAGCTGGTGTCAATCAGGGATATCCATAACTCTGCACAGCATAGTTAAGGTGACTTAACCCTCATCACTAAGTCAAGGGACTTGTCCACACTTAAAATACTACAGTGGCATAGCTGAGTCACTGTAGCTTTTCAGTGTAGACACTATGTATGTCGATGGCAGGGGTTCTCTCAGTAGCATAGTCAATATATCTTCCTGAGAAGCAATAGCTAGGTCAACCAGGAACTTAGATCACCTTAACAACGTCCCTCAGGTATGTGGATTTTTCACACCTCTGACTGACATAGTTAAAGTGTCCTAACTATCATGTCTCTAGGAGGTGGAATACCAACACTAGAGAGTCCCTCCTCTCAATGTTGGTACTGTCTACACTGAAGTGCTACAGTAGTATAGTGCTGCTGAAGCATTTCCAGTGTAGATAATTGGCTTTAAAATGAAAGCAGAGATTCTACAAAAATGTTATGTGGTATGCAAGCCATATGACACTGATGAGTGGGTCAGCTGTTTGACACACCTGTTTTAGAGGGCAGTATTTTGTACAAATAGCTATCATAAGTTACTTTTGCTTCTCCTTTACATTATCAGAAGGAAGTTGTCTTTTGTTTATATATATGGTCTGCATCTATGTAAGACTTGCATGTTCCATTAAAAGCAGTCAAGACTTAGCAGAATATTCTAAACTGTATTTCTAATTCATGTTGCATATTTGCAGTCTCTTAAAAAGTTAATTTAAAAAGTTAATTTTCAAAATTTATTTTCAGACTTTTCCACAGCCTTGTAAAGTATGCAAGTTGTGGGTATTTCAGCATTTAAGTCTTTTCCCTAGAAAGGGCTGAGGGAGAAAAGGAAATCTAATCTGTCTATTAAAGCTACTTCAAAAGGTATTAAAATAAAAATACCTCACACAGACAACCACATTTCATTATACCAGAAGAGATGAACCATTTAGGTTTGCCAGATGGTTTCAACAAAAATACCGGACACACTTGACATTACATCACAATCTACATTACATCTTATTTAGAAAATACCGGACATTTGTATTTTCTCAATTTGTTTTCTGAACAGAAAGCTCAAATACTAGACTGTCCGATTCAAAACCAGACACCTAGCAACCCTAGAACCATTATTTCCTAAAAAGCTACAAAGATTTTCATTATTTCACTTCACTAGTCCATTACCTCACCATATTAACAGGATTCCCTGCAGAATGATGGAACATAGAGCTATGAATGTCTCACCAGTTATCTGGTTAACCCTTAATGGATGAGGTTTACTGGCTAAGGTTAACCGGCAGGAGCTGGAGCAGCTCACTGCGTTTCATGGACAGGGGCCTGTTCCAGCCCCATGGGGCTCCCGCCATAGGCACGGGCTGCTCTAGCGTCCTGGCCAGAACAGCCTCTGTCCATGGCAAACCCAAGTACCCAGCAGGCAGGGGCTGCTCCTGCCGAGAGTTGCTTCAGCCCAGCAGCAGATGGGGAGGTACTATGGCCTGGCTGGAGCGACTCCTTGCCCACTTTCCCCTTTAATACGTTAGCTGGTTAAACATATTGGTTAACTGGTTGCTTTTGTGGAAAAGCATCCATGCCAATCTAGACGCTCTTTTCTGAAAATGCTTTTAACGGAAAACTTTTCCGTTAAAAGCATTTCCGGAAAATCATGCCAGTATAGACGTAGCCACTATGAATAAGTTTAAGCTAGAAATGAGGTTTCTAGCCATCAGCAGTTTCTGGAACAACTTGATAAGTTTATGAATGGAGTAAGTTGTAATAGCAGGTGACTGGATCTGTTTACTCAAGAGGTCTTTTCCAATCTTATGCTCCTATGACTCTGAAATCTACTGCCTTAAATTCTCCCTGCAGTTTCAATTCTTCACTTCCTATAATAAGCAGATTCTGTGGATCACAGAACCTTTTTCAGAGAAGGCTGCATCTCAGTTGTGGGGAACAGATCTCTGTACTTGTTTATAGAACAGATTTCAGATCCTTCAGGAAGAAACAACATAGAAGTTTATAAAGAGCCATACTTTTATGGTATTAGTACAAGCCTTTTTCCCCTCACATCTTTACAGGCACAACGGTCAATCATTTTGAAAATGGAGGAAGTTAGACTGCACACCGTACCAGAAAATGGCAGCATCCCACTTGAGAGACAATGGTGTCTGAGTCAGTGTTTTCCCCAATAGAAACCTAAGAATTACAGCTTATATGCATCTCCAACCTACTCCTCTCCTAAGCTACACAGCTGAGAGAGAAGATCACAACAGTATCTTTAAAACTCATGCGATTACAGGAACCAACCTGCTTTTCTGTGGGTTTTAAATGCTTTAAGGGGTGTTGTACCTATATTTACACCACTGTGTGGATAGGAAGAGTCCAAATACCATAGACATTCCAGCCACGGAATCAGCCACCCTACCAGTCCCTGTCCTCTTTGCACTCCGTGAGGAAGAATGACCCTGTGAAAACCCTAGTGCAGTGGTTCTCAAAGTGTGGTCCATGGACCACTAGTGGTCCACGGCTGTCTTGCAGATGGACCATGGGTTCAGGGCTAGGGATGTAAGCGACTAGTTGACTATTAGATAAGCTTAAGTTTATTGGCTAGTCAACCAGTGAAGCAAATAGTTGCTTCCTCCCCCCTCCTCCCTCTCCCAGACACAGGCAGCAAGGGGAAGTAGAGAAGGAGTCAGTGCTGGGGGGAGCCAGCTTAAAAACTGGTTCCCCCCAGCACCATTTCTGCAGGGACCAGGGGAGGTAGAGGCACAGCGGAAAATGGAAAGAGCGGGGACTGTAGCAGTCTCCACTCATATTGGTTCTGCTTTTGAAATTTACAAGAGGAGAGTGAGCCTCACTGGCCAGATGTGGTTTGTGGGAGAAGGAGGCAGCTCCTTGTGTTGATACTTCCCCCGCAGGAGGAATAGCAGCACATTAAACCACTCACCCAGAGGGCTTCCCAGCTGTGC